CCCCAAACCCTGCCAGTGATCAACAGTGCTAAATTTCTGTATTCCTAGCCCAATTACCTCAGTGTGAAACATTCACCACATTAGGATCAGCACCTCAGGTATTAGTTATACTTTGTATCTATTAGCAAGAAACTTGCCTGTTATGCTGTGCTCTGTTTTGCTAGCTCTACCAGACAACCCGCTAGGACCTGGCTGGGGCACATTTTCAGGAATAGGATTAAATGTTTTACAAGAAGAATTTGATGCTTCAGCTAATGCTGCCTGTTGATCTGCTCTCATCAATCCAAACTGAGTGCTTATCACTTTCTCAACCTGAAATATAGAAATTACATTCCTTAAAAAAGTACAGAAAGCTATATGCTTCATTCTGGAGCAAGTTTGTGATTGTGTAACAAAGTACTATCATCTGCCAAGATATCTGGCTATAAACTGGGATGTAACAATTGCCATATAACTATAATGAAATCTAACATCATTCTTGAGTTGCTAGCACTCCTGCCATGTATTTGGGAGGCTCCATGTTCAAATCTGGACCCAGAAACCAGGTATTTACACAGATAGATTAATTTAATTTGATCAGATGCAAAAACATACAGGGACATAAACAACATGAATGCAAGTCAATCTCAAAATTATAAATAAAAGACACAAGTTACAATACAATGTTCAACATACCCATTCCTCAATTTCTTTATTTGGTGTAAGAGGAGCAATGGCTTCAGGTTTTCTGTCTCTCTCATGGACCTTGGAAGAGTGTTTCTGCAGGGAACTTCTGTTGCAAGACATCAGGCTGCAGTGTGTACACACCCATCTGTAAAATAAATGTTAGCTCTCTAAACAAATATACAAAAATGATTCTACAGATTCCAACTTCCTAATACTGTTATTGTGGGAGCTCTTCAATACTGAACGAACAGCTTGTTGAAATCAATATGGCAGAGTGACATTGCAAATTATTTGGTGCCATACACTCATTAAACTACAGCATATATGCATATAGTGTGTACAATAAATTTCAGACTTGGTTTTACTGTGAAATTATTAACTCATCATCTTGATCAACATTTATGCACATTAATTATTTTTCTGTCCCAGCAGAGGATACCTGTTGTTACATATCCAACAATCACTCTATCCATAATTTGTGGCCTTTGAGTATCATTGCAAGATTTTAACAAGGCAGAAAAATTAAAACTTCCTACTACTGACTGGTCCCTTAGTGGACTAGTGGTTAGTGTGCTCGCCACCGAACCCAAGGTTCGCGAGTTCAAACCTGGCCAGGGGCAATGGATTTTTAGGGGTGATAAAAATCTGTAGCACAACTTCCTTCATAGATGAAGCCGGTGGCCCCATGTCATAGATGTATGGCATGTAAAATAATCTTACAGGCATGAACAAGACGTTTCGTAAGCAAAATTCAGCAACAATTTCTCAGCCAAGTCCCTACTGATTTACTACTAAATGGCTCTAGCAGTCAAATCAGGATTGAGTAGAAATTGTGCAGTCAGTGGGCTGGTCACTCACTACTCACAAATACACACTTCAAAGACTATGAAACCTCCGAAAAGGACGCGGCAAAAACCCACAACTGGGTTATAGAGCCAGAAACAACAACAAACAACTACTGACTGGTGCTGCTACCTACTAGAATATTTCAGTACTTTTGTTGGGAATGTTCATGTAAAATTGTGACATTCACTGTTATTTAATTCCTGTCGTGAGGTATGGTTCAAGCTACCTGTTTTACTGGCTTCAGGGGTTAATCATTTTGCAAGAATTTTGACACCTCTATTTCTCAATATAATCATCCACCAATCCCACACATTCTTTTATCACTGTACAAGTTTCCTAAAAGTTCTTCAATGCCTCCTCTAGAAGTTATGGACATACTGTTGGAACAGCTAATCATGTACTGGCCTTGACTCCTTCAGGGGGCTAGGAAATCACTTGGAACTCCTTCCAGACTATATGTATTCCACATTTCAACAAATCCTGCAGGCTGTCAAGGCACCCAATATTTTCATAAGTATTATTTTTCATTTGTCTGTTTTTGGAAATCACAGAGATTTTTGGGTCTGAAGGAGTGAAAGAGGTGTAAATCTATTGATTATTGCCACAATGAAGTGTATATGAGTGGATCAAAATGTCTGAAAGCCTGTGAACTGGTGCTGTCAATGCACACGGGTCAGGACACCTGCCCACATCCAGAAACAAACAATACATCTCTAAGTACATAAGCAATGATTTTTGACAACTGACAAAGGTAATTACAAGCCACTAATGGAGGAACCATGTTTATGCCATGTTCATTTAGCACAAATGGACAAGTGAACACTCATAACATGCCAGTATTTGACCTTGAGCTGCAGTATCACAAGGCCTCAACAGCATAACTTTTTTTTTAAAAAAATGTTTATATGATCTCTCCCCTATTCTGACGAAATATAAATATGTACTTGATTTTCTCTCCATTTACCTCCAGATCAGTTTCCTTACTACCATCTTAGCATTTCCGACCTTCTCCTTATAGTAACCATGTTTCTGCCCACTCAGTATTACATACACATTCAGGGAATCTTACAAAACATGCATGCCCACAAAGTGGTTTCAACAGTTCTGTGTCAAGTGCATACATTATAAAGATCTACTGAGAAATATTGGGATAATTATGTGTACAAAGCAGCCATGTGGTTCATTCTGCATCAATTTAAAAATTTGAAACTGCTTTTATTTTTATATGTATGCTTTCACATATATATAATTAAAACAATGAAAGCAGTTTCAAATTTCCAAATCAACACAGAATGAACCATATGGAACATAATGCAGATAATATTGAACAATTATTTACTAGTTCACATGGCTGCTTTATATTGATACTTATTCTAACATTTCTCACTAGACCTTCCCAATCTATGCAGCTCACACAGCACTGTTAGATATATAAAGAATCAAGAAGTCACACACATGCATACAGCCAGACACACTAGAACCTCAACAACAGAAATGGGGTGCATAGGTCCTAGGATATGCCACAACATACTAAACACTTAAAATCCTCACTTGTGATACTTAAGTTCCCTGTAGAGATGGTCTCTGAAGTCCGCTTTGAACTTTGTGCGGTATTTGTTGCAGAGTGTACAGAAATATAGGTTCCCTCCTACAGGTCTTCCATAAGGACCAAACTTCCCCTCTTTCTCTTCCATCTCTCCAACTTCAACACTTGTCCTGCGGACAATGTCAGGTTTGGGAACGTCACCTTCTTCTTCCAGCAATATACCACGGATATGCCTTACACGTTGCATGTCTCTACGCCACAGAGGTGTTGTGTCAAATAAACCTGTGTCCAGTGATAATCCACTCTTTGCTGCTGGTGACTGGGGTGTTTGAGGACCATCCACCTGCATGTCACATGCAGAATCAGCAAATCATAAATACAACACTACAGAAATATGATTTATATATTAAGTGACCTAGGCAAGATAAACAAGGTATAGTACAGTATATTGTTAACTTATAAACTTTTAAATATAACATAATAATATAAGATTTGTATGACTCAGAGTCTGCATTAGAAAAGTAGGTTTTATCAGTCTTTCCAAAAATTGATTCTTAACTTTTATACTTTTTCCTTAACTTCTTTTAGCTTTCCTTAAAACTTCTGAGACAACTTAAAACAATTTCTTACTAACAAAGAGTTGGTGAAGTCACCAACATTTAAGTCAACACCATAGTTAAATGTAAATGTATCTAATGAAAAGTAACTTTAATGGACTAAATTTCAAAATACCTCCCTTCATGGATGTGTGGCAATAATAATAAACATTCAGATTCATATTATACTGAGCTCAATGGTTCAATGCCACATTTGTGTTAGAATGAGAGGGTACACTTTCCCTCACTCAGTGTTACAATATCATAAGTTATTTTATATCAGCAGAGTAAACTTTCAGTTGTTCAAAACAAATGAGAAGTTAATTTAAAGCTCCATTTAAGGCAGCTTATTATACATTCCAAGTTTCCAACTTGCATAAAGGATTGCTGACCTTGCGATATACATGGATGAGCTCCACATTTCCTACAGCTGGATGCTTGGATGCAAAGTGATTGTCAAAACTGCACTTAGAGGATGACCGATAACTACAGAGCCCACATTTAAACTGACTCTTCAGCCCATGAAAGTTCCAAGTATGTTCCAGCACTTCAGATCGTGTTGAGCAGTGGAATTTACAGAGGCCACAATGCCAAGGATTCTTCACAGTTCCAGCATCACTTGAACTTCCTCCTAGAAGACAATAGTATATGAGCAAATCACAATTCACTAGAGGAATTCCATGCATAGTATATACTCATAAATATGTGTTTAAACAAGAGAAACTGGAAATTGTTCCGCCTTTTGTTATCACTTAACAAAATTAATTCCACTCATAGTCCTTTTACGTAGAACGTAATTTATACACTGAATGTTGCTCAACAATACCACTGGCATTCATGCTCAAAATTGCTCAGTTTATGAGATATGAGGTTCTCACAGTAACTAATATATAGATGCCTGTCTTTTGGGATGTTGCACCAAGTAGTCTGGAAGATAATGACCAACATTTCAGAGAACTTTACTGCCTCCATCATCAAGGTGTTGTTATGACCCTACATGAGGCACCATCACATCTATTCTGTTTATTTCTAGCAAACCTCTGCACACAACCAACTAGAAATATTTTTGGATTTGAGGTTTTGTATTACCTGCTTTGACAATAAATAATTCTGCATTTTGTTCACAAAGTGTATTTATCAGTTTCACAAGAGTAAACTGATCATTCCTCACACAGCATTAACCTTGTGACCTTTAATGTGGAGAAGCATGTGTTTTCTTTAAGGTATGAACTAAATGTCTGAACATGATAAAGATGAGCTACAGCTTCAAAGGTGTAAGTCAAATTTTGCCCAAATACTCATCTGTGCTTGAAGGAAAAATCTATTTAGCATTTTCCTAATACAGTAGTTGCAATTATAAACTGGGATAAAGACATTAAACATAGTATGACTGATTAGTATGAACTTTTGATAGCAAACAGCAATAGAAAATTTATTTTACCACTTTGATAGTTATTTATATTTCCAAAATTTACTTTCAGCATTTTACTTTATTAGTTTTCACAAAATCACAACTACTTCCTCATCATTCACCAGTCACAACCACTCTATCATCATTCACAAATTCAAGTCACAACTACGAGGCGCGTCCCAAAAGTAAGTTTCCCACTCGTCCCACAGCTAGCAAACCTTATATTGCGCGAAGCGACTGTGCGTACGTGATAGAGCAATGACGTAGCATGGCGCATGCACTAACGGCACTTCCCGCGTTCTCACAGTAGCATCGTTGCAGCTGTTGAAGATGGAGGTTCTTATTCCAGCCCCCGCCGACTGTGAAGTGCGGTCAGTGATAACGCTAGGCCGCACACGGCTCGACGGACAGCAAGTCTCCTGCAGAAGTTCAGCTGGGAGGTGTTTAATCATCCACCCTACAGCCCGGACCTCGCTCCCAGTGATTTCCATCTTTTCCTACACCTCAAGAAATTCCTGTCCGGTCAGCGTCAGCGTTTTGAGAATGACAGAGAGGCGGAGATGGCTGTCACACAGTGGTTCCAATCCCAGGCGGCAGACTTCTACGACACAGGTATTCAAAAGTTGGTCCCACGGTATGACAAATGTCTCAATTCCGGTGGCGAATATGTTGAAAAATAGCTAGACACTTGCTGTATCTGTTGCAATAAATATTTACATGAAATTGTGTTTTGTTTCTGTAAACGGCCCAAGGGAAACTTACTTTGTGGACGAGCCTCGTACAT